TAGGGTATTAGACAACGCCTAATATAGTAGTGAGAGCGATGAGAAATTGTAGATTTTGGTGTTTTTATTACTACTATATCTGATCTTTCACCTATCTAAATTGCGGCCCAAACTTGGATAGCTATATCATGACCTAGAACTTAATTAGTAAGCTAGATATAGATAAGATATATATATAAAATAATTATATATATCTAGTAGATATATATTATATATATAGAAGTTTTTAAAACGTACTAGTAGTTTTACTAGAAACTAGAGTTCTTCCACCTTTGGAATTACCGCGTTTTCTAGTATATTCTGAGCGAGATCCGTGCGTACACTTAACTCCACACTCGTATGAGAATATAATCTTTTTAAAATTAATATTAGGAAGCTCTTTTAGCTGTCTCTTAGCGTAGGCTAGTCTTTCTCTAGCTCTAGACGCGTTTAACGTTGATTTTTTAGAGCAGATATTTACTGTCCAGCCTTCTACTCTAAGAACTCTTTGAAGAGTTCTAGTAGAAGCTTTTAGATTATTCTCGCGGATTAATCTAGAATTTGTCTTCTTGGGCTCTTAGTTATATCCCTATTAATAGCTCTTCTAGTCCTAGTAGAAAGCTTTGAAACCCGGCCTCTACTAGCTCTTTCTTGCTTAGTAATGTTTTTCTTTTTTTTATTAATACGATAAATAGCGTCGTAGATAGATCTTAGAGGCTTCTGAAAGTAGATAGAAATGTTTTTAATAGCTATATTGGCGTTAATAAGCCGATTAACTTCAGCTTCAAATTTGGAAAGTTTTGGATCTATCTAGAGGAAATAAAGATCTAAGAGACTAAGAATTAGAAGAGTGATATATATATGATATTCTGACTAATTGCTAACTAATATACCGCTTATGTAAGTATAGGCTAAGTACTAGATGTATTAAGAATCTATGATATATATAAGCTAGAGTAGCTAAGACTATTATCACGTGATCTATGTATCTACTACTACTATATATATAACTATTAGCTATATAGCTCTATCTACTATAGAGTTCTAAAAGTTCAAAATCTTTTAGAATTTTTCTAAGTATTTATGTTATTATAGATCTACCTAACGCTGTAGTAGAATATCACGTGACACCTATGTAAAAGACTAGAAGATCTTAGCTTTAAAACGAACTAACTTTTTTATCTATAGCCACTATAGCTGCTGAGTAATTATCTTTTAAAAATAATTACTTTTTCTACTACGTTTTTTTTTTGTCACCCCACTGTATAATAATAAACTCTCTATAGAAGAATGTAAGAAGCGTTATAATAGTAAGGTATATCTCTAATATAGTAAAGTAGGATACTTCTATAGAGATTGCCTAAAAAGCGAAGTTAGATAAGAAGTAGTTAAGATTAGGATAATTCGGATACTAATACTATACCTAACTAAGGAGCTAGACGAAACTCTTAGCGACCTAGACCTATATAAAGAAGTAAGATAAGCTACTAATAAGGCGTTTAAGCTAGTATAAGAGATAATAGGACTCTAAGACTTTAAGTAGGACGTACTACTACTAATAGATTAGTAAGTTAAAGGGGTAGAAGTACTACGCCGCCTAAGAAGCTAATAGTGCTAAATTTGCGGAACTAATGTATACTAAGCTAATAATTATAATATTAATAGATAAGTTATAATCTTAGAACCCTAAGTAAATAAGATTACCTATAGGGCTGCCTAGAAATAACTTAGGTTTAAGAAACTTAATAATAAAGAGATATCTTAAACATTTAAGGAACGAATAGAGTAATATAAGCGCCTATATTAGGTTAACTACCTAAGATAGTATAATTACTACTTAAGGAAGTGAGAAGAGACTAGAGATAACGAGGACAATTACTATTATACTAATCTATAGTATAACGAGTGTTATATACAATATTACTATATATACTAGCCTAGAGAAAAGGAAGCTTATAAGGAGCTGTGCTGGATTAAGTACACGATTAATTACTAATTCTATAAGAAATAGCGACAGAAAGCTAGAAGAGTAGATAACTACTACTATAGTACAATTTCTATAGAAGAATATATAGTAAAGAACTATAGAATATATAGAGCCTAAGTATAAGAAACGCTAGTAGAGTATAGTAAACTTCTATAGACGTATTATAGGAAAGATTATACTATATACTAATAATAGTTTAAGAATACTTAATAGGTAGATAATTACTACTATAGCACTCTATTAGCGAATAATTATAAGATAAAGGACTGTAATTTATAAAAGTAGGAAGCTAGAACTAAGAAAGAGAACTATATAATAGAAGACACCTTATAAGAATATCTATTAAAGATTCTACTATAACTACTAGTATATAATATACTATTCTACTAAAATAGGCGATGGCTACTTCCTAAAGAAGAAGAGAAGTAGGTAGTTAAAAAACTAGGATGCTACTAGAGATAGAGTTACGCTAGTAGAGGCAGTCCTAAAACAACTCTTAAGTAAGTATAGAAAGTAGGAGTAAAAGAGTTATAATTAAAAGCTATAGTACTTATAGATAGATATAAGATATTAGCGCTTATAGATAGTAAGGTAGTATAAACTATTATATCTCTACAAGTAGTAGAAGAAAACAATATACTCTATTAGAATAAGAAGGTACTAATACGAGTAGTATTAGCTGACGATAGTTCTATAATATATAGGAATAGTTAGATCTAACTTAAGACTAAAGTAGTAATATTACGCCTCGCTAGTTAAGAAAGCTAAGAAAATATTAGTATTATAGATCTTAGAGAAACTAAGATAATAATTAGCTATAATTACTTATTAAAGTATAACCCTACTATTAACTAGTAAAAGAAGATATTACTTAGCTAAGAGCCTATATATTTAGTTACTAGAGTATAATATAAGATACGCCTAATAAATTAGTACGTAACCTAGAATAGAAGATTTAGTATAATCTTACTATAACTATAAGATTATAAGAATCTATATAAAGAACTCTTAGAAAGTAGGAGTTATTTAAATACAGCAGATCGTAACTATAAAGGAAGAATTAGTACTATAGTTGGTGATTCTAATAGAATACTAAACGAACGAGTTTAGAGAACTATTCGAAGAAAACGAGATAATAGACTTAGTAGACTATTAGGATTAAGATTACGAGATTATTCTTAATAAAGGAGCTAAGTTAAGCCTAGAACTAATATACCCTATAGCGCCTAAGTATAATGCTAAGCTATAGGAATATATCTAAAAGAACTTAAAAAAGGGATTTATCTAACTAGGATTAGACCTAATAGTCTTACCTATCTTATTTATAAAGAAGCCTAACGGGAAGTAGTAACTATATATTAACTTTAGAAGGTTAAATAGTATAACCTAGAACTAATATCTCTTACTACTTATTATAGAGCTTATAGATTAACTCTAGAGAACTAAGTAGTTTATAAAGTTTAACGTTTAAGAAGAATTTTACTAAATTAAAATTAAAAAAGGTTATAAGTAGATAACAGCGTTTAAAACGAAGTATAAACTCGTTAAGTATATAGTTATATTATTTAGATTAATAAATATACTAGCAACCTTTTAATTAGTTATAAATAACGTACTCTATAAATACCTTAGAATCTTTATTACCACGTATCTAGATAATATACTAGTATACTCTAGCGGTATACGCGAAGAATATATTAAGTATATTAAGAAGGTCTTACGAAAGCTTAAGGAATATAAGCTATACTTTTAACTAAGAAAGTATAAATTTTATATATAGGAAACAGAATTTCTTAGATTTATTATATTAACTAAAGAAGTAAAGATAAATCTAAAGAAGATATAGACTATATAGGAATAGCTAATACCTAAAATAGTTAAGAATATTTAATCCTTCTTAGAATTTACGAATTATTATTAAAAGTTTATTAGAGATTACTTAAAGATTATAGTACCCCTTATAGAAGTAATAAAGAAAGAAATAAGTTTTAAATAGGAATAGGAATATTAAGAGGATTTTAATTAAATTAAGTAGATATTTCTAAAGGCGCTAGTACTTAAGATATATAGCTCTTAACGATCTACTAAAGTTAAGACTAACGCGTCTAACTATACACTTAGAGCTATATTATTATAGTAGTACTTAGATAGAAAATAGAGACTAGTATTCTACTATTTATAGAAGTTCTCTAGAGTAGAACTTAACTATAATATTTATAATAAGGAACTACTTAGAGTAGTTAATACCTTTAAATAATAGAAAGTGTACCTACTAGAACTCCCTAAATAGATTAAGATTTTTACTAATTACTAGAACTTAACAAGTTTTATAATAATAAAGAAACTTAATTAATAATAAGTATAATAGGTAGAGATACTAGCCTAGTTTAACTATAAAATTACGTACCGCGCAGGGACGCTTAATAGAGTAGTAGACGCTTTAAGTAGAAGGTCTAACTTACGCGAAGAAGGCTATAAAGAACTATATAATATCTTACTTAAGATAATGCCTAATAGTAGTCTAAAGTATAACTAGCTAGAACTAGCTAAGGTAGCTAAGGTGGCTGAGTAGGTAGAAACGCTATAATAGTAATAGTAGTAATAAGCAGCTAGCTAGTAGTTTAAGCCTAATAAAGCAGGCTCCGACGAACTATTAAATAATAAAAGAGAGTACTAAGATATAGTTTTAAAGAATTAAATATATATACCCCTATATATAAGATTAAGTCTTATATAGAAACTATATAAGTTATAGAAATATAGATATATAGAAGTTAAAGAAATAGTTAGACGACTAGCTAAGGTATTTACGATACTACGCTTGCGAGTAAAGGTGCAGGAAATACTAAGTAACTATTTAGTATGTTACTAGAATAAGCCTAAAAGATATAAGCCCTACGGCCTATTATAACTCTTATAGCTACTATCTAGACTATAGATAAGTATAATAATAGACTTTATAGTTAAGCTTCTAAGTTTATTAGAACTAGAATTAGCTTAATTTTACAATATAATCCTAGTAATCGTAGACTAATTAACTAAGGCAGCGAAATTTATACTTATAGAAGAGACTATTATAGTAGATAAATACGCGTATAAGGTTATAAAGGCACTAGTATTAAAGTATAGAATACCTAAAGAGTTTATTACTAATTATAATAAACTGTTTACGTCTAAATACTAGAATATATTCCTAGTAAAGTTAGGTGTTAAGAAGAAGCTTTTAATAAGCTTCTATCTAGAAATAGATAGCTAGATAGAACGCATAAACTAGATATTAGAATAATACCTACGGATATACGCTAGTAAATTATAAGATAACTAGGTAGAATTACTACTAATAGCGTAATTAGCCTATAATAGCATAAAATCGGTAATAATAAAGTATTTACCACACTACGCGAACTACGGATATAGGCTAACTACCTATTAAGATCTAAAGGATATTAAAAGTATTATAGTAGGAGTAGACGATAAAGCGAAGCTTATATAAGAATTATATAAAGAATTAAGTAAGAATATAGCTTAATAGCACCTTACGATATTTAAAGCAGAGAATAAATAAAAGATTAAGGGACTAACCTTTAAGAAGAGAGATAAAGTTTTCCTATTAAGATAAAACCTAAAAACTAAACGACTATATAGAAAATTAGATAACTTTTAAATAGAACCGTTTAAAATTCTAGAGGAAATAGGAAAAGTAAACTATAAGTTAAAACTCCTATAAGGTATATAAATTTACTCTATCTTTTATAAGAAACTTCTAGAACTAGCACCTCTAGATACTAAGCTAGTAATAGATATAGAGCTTAAGAATAACGAGTATAAGGTTAAAGAAATTAAGAACCTACAGAAAATTAGTAGTTAGTAGAAGTACTTAGTTAAGTAGTAAGAATAGCTAGAAAGCTATAACACTTAGAAATCTAAAGAAAATCTAATAAACTATAAGTCACTAGTACGAGAATACTACTAGAAGCACCTAGAGAAGCGAGAGAGAGCCCCTTAAGAAGGAAGAAATAATTAAAAGAAGAATTATAGTAATTAGCCTATAACCCGCCTAGATTAGCTAATAGTTTAGATAGCGATAGTTTAATAGTAGGAGAATTAGTACTAGAGGCCGAGTTCCCCGCGACCTACTCTTTTACGCGCTCTAACTCTTTTAGTACCGCTAAATTATAATAAGTAAACGAATACTCTTACTCTTTAGCCTCTAGAAGCTTAACCTTTCTTTAAGCTAATTACGCCTCTAATTAGGTAATCTTAAGACGCTTCTAACGCTTCTCTCGCTAAACCTTCTCCTAATCTTTATTAGAAATAAAAAGGCTACACTCCGCCTTTACGGTAATATAACCAGCGCACTACCTAGACACTATATTAATAAAATAACGAAGACTCTTCTCTTTATAATGGTCGCACTTAGTAACTATTTCTAAGCTAGCGCTTTCTATCTTTACAGCACGAAACTAGCGCTTCTTAGTTAAAGTATACTTTCGAGACTAATAGAAAGGTTAAACCTTAGGTATAGTTAGAAAGGCTATGAGGTAGAGATAGCTATAATAAGTAGATAGGCTCTAACCTTATATACAGCCGGCGTCTTAACACGCAGTATAGGAAAATAATATTCTAGGGTATTAAGACGATAGCTCTAAGAGAGAAGGTAATATTATAAGTAATAAGAAGGATTCTCTTCTTAACGAGTAACGAGATAGCTAAAGGCCTATAGAGGTCCACGTTAGAAGGTAATAATTATCGCGGGGCTAGATTACGTAATATGCTATTCTACTAAGAGCAACTATCTAAGGGATAGTAGAGCGTCTTAAGATAGTAGCTATCCCCAACATTATAACTATTCTAGAGATAGTAAGGAAAGAAGAGATAGTAGGACTAGAAGTAATAAGAATATAAGGATAGATAGATTTCATTATTTACTCTCGTTGTGGTTAACTTAAATTATACTTTCTTACTAGTATCTTTACTTAATAAGATTATTATAAGTTAGTCTATTAAATAGATTAGTCTTATTAAACCCTTCTTAAGCACGCTAACTCTACTACATCGCCAGACAAGCCTCACGGAACACTAACGTAATACTTACCTGCCTTAGTGCGGACTAGAAAAGAGAAGTATAGAACTCTACCCCGTGTAATAAAAATCTAATATATCGACTTTTACTACAAATAGACTTTTACTATAAATCTATAGCACTAGTCTAGATCTAGTAACTACTATCTACGTACAGCCTACTATTACGATAAGTTAGCTATAGTATAGTAAACTCTTCTACTAAAAACCTTCTATAATGCTATAAAAAAAGACTGATTTTTGCTGTAAGACTATTATTTTAATGCCCGCGAGACTAGCTTTAAGATCTACTACTAATAGAATAGTAGTTTTCCTATAGTTAATCTATAATCTCCTCTCTCCGCTAGTCTAGGCTGGCTAGTTCTACTATTACTTCACTAGCGTTGATATCTAGCTCACCACCCGCCAGATCTAGCCGCTTAAAATCCTTACTAACTAGATAGAACTTATTAATAAAATTATATTCCGCAACTAACTTATATACTAGATTAACTTAAGTAGTAATTAAAAACTCGTGCGGCCGATTAAAAATACGCTAGCGCCGTTTTTATACTCTAAAGATACGCTTAACTACTATATGCAAACTAGAGTAACGTATATTAAAAAGCTCTTTTTTATTCTCTAGCGTGCACCTAATAGCTCTAACCTCTCGTAGATGATAGCGTACGCCTCTATACAGAGAGAGCGTAATTATTCTATTAGTATATCTAGCGTTAGCTAGATAATACCGACCCGGTGGTGCTGAAAATTCTTAGTAGATAGTATCCTACAGCACCCGCCCATTATAAGCTAAGCTCTCCTAGCCTGCTAGTACGTAGGTAAAGTTTATATTAAAATCTACTACGGCGAGAACGTTTTAAGTAAGTTCTCTCTTACGATTATAGAAGCGCGCCTACTAACTACTTAGTATATAAAGCTTTAAGTGTGTGCCGTTAATTGCGCCTACGCAGCTTCTAAAGGCTAGCTAGCGTTATAGGTCGCTGCAGATTACGGTTAGTATAGTATCTAAAGCTAGCCTTACTATCTTGGGATATATCCAGATTAGCCTATCTAGAACCTAGTAAAAAATCTTAGCTCTAGTAAGTAATTTAGCTGTAACTGCGAGAGTTTTCAAACTAACTAAGATATAGTATCTAGTAATCGCCCGCAGCGATACCTAGCGTTTCTCTATAATAATCCAACACCACAGATATATAAAAATATAAGTAGTTTTTCTTCTACTAAGGCCCTCCCATCGCGGAGACCGTGATGCCGCAACCGACGAGCTAGCGCTTAAAATACTAGCTTAGTAAGTCGGGTCTTAGTAAATATTTGCGTATTGTCACTTAAGTAATTAGCTAGCTAGAGATACCTACGGTTATGATCATCGTTATGAGCTCGTACGCCAGAGAGTAGTGAAGGATATATATCGCTAGTAGCAGCTACTAGGGGAGCAGCTGCTGCTATACTAGCTACAGCTATCGCGATAGCTTTTTTAGTGGTTGGTTTTCGATACATCGTACGGGAAAAACGCAGCCAACCGCTGCCCCCCTTGCTACAGTTTGGAATCGCGGTTTGACCTTTCCCAACAGAGTATGCAACATAGGTAAAGTAAGCACTAGATAGGGCTTTTTTTACTAGAGCGATACTAACAAAACGCAGCAAGGGTTGATGCTTGAAAACCGCGCGTTTTACCGAACAGTACAGCGTTTTTGGCTGCGGTTCAAAACCGCAGCCCAAATCGGGCTTAGTAAACCGCAACCGCAAACCGCAACCGCGCAACCGAACAGGCCCTTATCAAATTTTAATATTATTCACAGATAGTCCATTGCTCTAAAGAATTAAACGTCATTTATTCTTCAACGGTAATGAAGTAGATTTCCTAACGATTATTTAATGGTTTAGAAGAGTTCTAGTAAAGAGAGAGTGTGTGTCCATCTATACTATTTACTATAAGATATGCTCCAATCCAACGGGTATTCCAACCTCTCTTGTCTCCGCATTCAAGACCTTGAAGACGGGGCCTCTACTACCCCCACTCCCTCTCCACACTGTCTCTACTATCTTACCGAACGACGTCCTACCCGCACTATTGACAGCAAAGTACACAATCTGTTCCACACCATTCCTATAGACAACAAAGCTCTCAATTCCGAGCGTCAGCTTCTCGCCCGTGTAGTCGATTTCGGTAAAGAGCGACGACTGCGTAGACGATATGAGAGTACCCGTTGGCACGGCTAGATTAGGGGACGTTGGGGATGCGGGAAGTTGGTCAATCATGCGGTCGAGGTATTTGATAGCTGTGGGCGAGGAGCCCCATGAGCCACGCTCGGCAAAAAACAAGGAAGTACCTGCAATGCGCAGTTGGCCTGGTTTGTCGAGTCCAGTAACGAGAACTTGCTCCTGCCCCTCACCGCTGAGAAGGATGCGCCGGATGCTACCGTCACTTACTGAGCTCCAATAGAGCCAGCCCCGTGCTTCGTCGACGACGATTCCACCGGCGTGTGTATTGGCATAGCTGTAGTCCTCAGAGAAAAAGGTGAGGCCTTGAGATACGTTGCGGAATACGGCGATGTTACTGCCGTCGTAGTTTGAGGAGTAGATGAGACCTGTGTTGGAGTCGCCATAGTAAAGCTTCTGAGATTGCTCGGCTGCTGTGATGCTGACAATTTGACTCGATGAGTCGCTCTCTTTGGTCAAGATATACTCTAAATTCCCACCGTCTATGTTGGTTCGCACCACACCCCGACCTGTGACGGAGAAGAAGGAGGAAGTTGACGGCGAGTATGCGAGGGCATAGGCAAGTATCGGCTGTTCAAGTGTGTTGGGATCAGACACAACTACACCGAATTGTGTAAGGTTAGCCGCGTTGGTACCATCAGTGTTGATACGGCGAAGAGAAGTCGGCCATCTGGGGATCGGCGTGCTGCGATGCCCTACGCCAGTATCGAGAACGACCAGGTATTGGGAGGCCCGTGGGTGTAGGCGTGGTAAAGCTGTGGAGAGCTGAAATAAGGTAAAGACGGACAGGAATAACATGGCGCATAGGACAGAGATCAATGTCGAATACTCTGGGTACCGTGCCATGGAACTGAGGTCATTTTATTGGAAGGCCTCCATGAATTTTGTTGGGAGTATTGAACGAAGTCTCCCGTAATGCAAATTTAGCAGGTAATAGAAAGTCTTCTTTGGGATGCTGACTATTGGCTTCTATATTAAAGGAACGCAATGGTGCTTTCGAGTCCTCCGCAATTACGATCCTCCATAGAAAAAAACACACTAGCTGCTGACACAACAGCTGCGTAGCTACTATTATCGGTTAGTATGTTGTAGCGTCAGCAGTAGCGAGTGGCGACTAGGCCCCCATCAATAAAGACAGATTGCTTGCCGCAGGACCTGCATACGCAAAATTAGCATTTCCCGTAAGCTGTCGACCCAGAATAGCTCGTTGGACAGCCGAGGCCGGAGAGACGGGATAAGACGAGGCAGTGAATTAGAATGTATGCAACAATATTAAAATGTGTCTATTATTCTGACGCGTAAATGCGGGTATCGTGCGAAATGGAAAAAACCTGGTACTCCAATGCTGATGCTCATGCAAATTCACCTCCCAGCGGCCGATTCTTTGATAGACTTCCCACAGACGCTCAAGGAATAGCCGCGGGATCCTTGGGCCAGTTGGCAGCAAAAGCAGTCCAGGGTGTACCTCTCATGGCCATCTTGCCGTCTTTGTCAGGGACGTACAAGAGTGGGTCGAATCCCTGCACGCTTGCCCAGGACCAGAACAATCGTCGCCAATAGCATGTTACTGCTGCTGGCGTAAGATACCTTCGGGTAAATGTCTCATAACTATTCTTTGCAATCTGCTCTGCCTCGTTGTCATGCTCACGATAGTATTCCATGGCGGACTCGAGGTTACCGAAGTTCTCGGAAGCTTCAATATAATTCACCTCGGGACCAGCGAGGCGCATGAGGTGCGTGTGAAACTCTTGCCATTCCAGGGGGTGTGTGATCATGGCTGAGCGGCAGAGCTGGAGGTACTTGAGGCGGCCGGAGTAGGAGGTTCCTTCGGTTTGGACAGTGTACTTGTAGCTGAGGAAAAGAAAGATCAGTATCGAAGCCCAAGTTTTTTGTGAGAGTAGAGAAACATACCTGCAGAAATCCCTCAAGTTCATCACATCCTTTGTATGAGGATCGCTGGCGTTATTGATGACGACGGGCTTGATGTCGCTCCATTCCTTTCCTTCACTAACTTTGACCAGCTCCTTTCTCAGCTTTGCCATCTTGATCTTGCCTCGCCAGACGACCCTGGGGTCCTTTTTGTCCCAAGGCAAATCCTTCTCCTTTTGCTCAATCTCTTTCCTGATGCTGTTCCAGCTGGGAGCATGGGTGTAGTTCCAAGCCCAGTAGGCGTAGTTGGGCATCATCCAAATATCTCTATATTCTGGTGTGTCTTTTCGTGTGTAGCCAAAGAAAGTTCCATCCTTCCGAGACCGGCGTGGTAGGTCATCAAGCGAAAGCGAGAATTCAATGTTTGGAATTGCAGGATCAGAGGTAGATGCGGAAGTGACGGCACGGTCCATCTGGGCCAGAGTTCCAAGAATGCGTTCTCTCTCATTTCCGTTGGTAACATAGCATTTTTCCGGCATTCCGGCATCGACAACGAAGAGCTGAGCCAGATGTGAGCACGAATGCAGACTAGGAACAGATCAACATCAACATACCTCTCCCTCATAGATGAGCACTCTTAGCATGCATCTTCCTTTTTCTATTTCAATGTCTTGGGCGTGAACCTTTCTCCCCTGCCGCAAGCGGACGGACTCGTCAAGGCTGTGATAGAGTTTTGGAAACGCGGAATCGCATTGGTCCTGGCTAAGGGTGTGAACATTGGCGTGGACATCGGCATCAAAGGTCCAGTCGCCTAATATGCGCCTGTGGGCAAAGTCGATGTAGTTGAGTTTAGATTGGCCCCATATGAAATAAAGCTGTGTGGTGATTATAAAGGTGGAAACGTAAAAGACGAGGTGGGGAAAGGATAAACGGTAGCCTTTGGGGATCATGATGGCATAACGGTGAGGAAAAACGAGCGACTAGGGAACAAAGTGACAATGGGAAAGGAAACAACGTTAGGCACAAGGAGGAGCGGGCTGAGCGGGACAAAAGAGTTCAAGAGCGGGACAAGAGGGTGAAGAGAAAAGCGTCTCGAGATAGTGGGCCGAAGATACGAGCGCCGAGGTGGGAGAAAGGCACTTGGGTAACAGCTAGCCATATGCGGTGCGGGCGTGTGCTGAGGAACCCCTGGGCTACGCTGGCGCCATGACGGAGGGGGCAAGTGGAAGGCGATGGTTCGAGGAGCAAGGCCTATGAGAGGGCCGAGGGAGGCGGACATGATAAGCGCATGGTTTGGAATACGATCAGCCGGATGTGGAGGTGACAGAAGCTGTGGATACAAGTGACTTGCATGGAGCACTCAGGGGCTGCGGCGTCTCCCGAACCCTGACGCTAGCGCTCTTTGGGCACGGCTAGGCCTGGTTGCGGTTAGCAGCTGAAGTGTGTCGCCCATGCGCCTGAGTCGATGGCAACTGTTGGCTTCTTGGGCGGCTCTCAGGCCGTTGCATGCAAGCCTCTTTTTTATCTCCCCAAGCCGCCAGCCAGCTGTGGTGTGCGGGTGAGCGACGAGAGACCAGTCCAGGCGCGTTTGGCAAATTCACATCAAGCAACGCCATGCTCCAAAGCGACTCTGGGGGCAGGCGGCAGGCGGGCTTGGCACTGGAGCTTAGCCGACTTGTCCCCTGATAGCTGCAGTTCGCTTCCTTTTGTCACGACGGCACGCGTCTAGCAAAGTGGTCCAACTGCAGGTAATGAAGATCACATTGCAGTCTCATCCTCTTCCGGAGACAAATCCTTTCATCCCCTGCACTGCAAAGGGGGCTTCTGCTGCCACTGCCTGCCATTTAGCGTCATCAGACTGCACAAGCAAGGTCCTCCACCTTTGTTTCGCCAGAGTGCTGTTCCCAATGTCCATCCATCCCACTCGCCATGGTACCCGTCCCAACAACTACGTACATAGTATGTATGTATCTACTCTAAGTAGGTATGTGGCTACATGGACCTAATACCGTGACCTGCACGCGACCAAATACGCCGAATCGTACGGGTGAGATGCGGATGTGTCCACTGTGCTCGAGATCCTCAGCCAAGACTACCCCGGTCAATGAGCATATACGCGCCTAGCTGACTCCACCATCTGCTCCATCGCACCGCTGGCTCATCCGTGCTAGCAATACAAAAGACACATGTTTCTATTTTACAGTCTATTTGTTGAGATACACGTCCACACAGGCAACAAATCGAGTGTTGTGGCAATCCGGCGTCCCGGGTACGATGTGACAAGCTAGTTGCCTGTGTAACTGTATCGTTACATTCTAAGAATTCAGAAAGCCACCGAAAAGGTACCGTGCACTTGATTGACTCAATGTCACGTGTGGGAGCTAGCCCGAAATACCTACTACATACCTAGCTTCCCAGAACACATACTAATATAAGCCCAAGGGTCTAGAAGGGATCGGAGACATGCATCGTCCACATCAAGCAGTTGATAAAAGTAATTGTCGTTAGACTTGCCTGCACGTCTACTGAGGCTCTGAACGCACATGCACAACGCAACAGCCTCTCCAACACAGCTCCACCCACCTGGAACGCTCCATGGACAACAAAACATGACTGCCTTGCAAAGCAAGTGTAAAAAGCAAGCCAATACTATACCATCCTTACGTTAAGACATAGGCACCTCTCAAAACAAAAACAAAAAGCATTTATACCGAGACCCAAGTGCTCCTCCAAAAGCCCCCCAGGCTGAGTACCACCTTTTCTATCAAACGCCTGCGCTATGCTGAAGCCATACAAATGCACCAATGATATTGTCCGATGCAAAACATGCTATCGATATTCATGGTAGCTCATGCAATCACATACTCTATCGCTTCTTCCCTTTTTTGCTACCGCCAGCTACAGACTTGAGCGCGGCATGTCCGAGATGGTCTTTCAAATGTTGATGCAGTTGGGTCTTGGATGGAAACCCTGCATTGCACCCGGCGCACTTCATCTTTGCGCCACTATCGTCGTTTTCGGCTTGCTTGGCCGCCTTTTTTGCCCGTTTCTGTGCGGCTTTGCCCATTTTGGACTGTGTCGCTGCAACACCTTCTGGCTGTGCACCATCGGTCGACTTGGTCTCCAGCTCCTCAATGGGGTTGGGATTAGATGCCTCTTTGCTACTGAAACCTGCCAGACGCGCTTCAATTTCCGACCGTGAGGCATATTCGTCGTCTTCGTCAGCATCATCGTCATTGTCGTCGTCACTGTCTGCCGATGCTGGTCCATAGGTGGTGTGTGGCTCGGTGGCTTTGTTGTCAGACGCATTTCCCGTCAACTGGGGCTCTTCCTCGTCTGTATTGTCATCTTGTACTCCAAGTTTGCCCGTTTTCTCCGTAATATCTTCAACGAACCCATCCGAGCCATTCATTTCGGTAGTAGTAGCATCTGCTTCAAGATCTCCTTCTGCTAGTGTCACAACATTCTTTTTCAGAGCATCCTGGCTCAAGTCGAGATTTGCATTGTCCTTTTGCATCTTCTTCTTCAGCGCTTGTATGGACTTTTGATGCTTTTTGCTCTTTTCGTGCGCGTCGTACTGCCGCTCACTCTTGAAAGTCTTGTTACAGGCTACGCACTCGTAGTGCTCCTCTTCGATTTCCTCTTCACTCTCCTCGTCCAGCTCGTCATCCGGGCGTGCTGTGGCCCAATCTGGGACTGCCTGCGCCTCTTCTTCCATCTTGGCAATCTGTGCAGCCCTTGCTCGTGCAGCCTGGGCCTTGCGCGCGTCCCGTTGCGCCTTGGCCTTGTCCTCGTCCGTCTGACTGTTGGGTGTGTAGCGTGGATCTCGCTTGCGTACAAAGGCGACCAGCGTCCTGACAGCATCGTTGAACTCTCGTCTACCGTCATCGCGAAGCTTTTGGTTTTCCTTTTCCATCAGTCTGCGCGTGCGGCGATCTGGGGCATGGGACAATTGATACATGTCCAACCATGCAAAGCTCTTAGCCGTAGCGAATCCATTCCAGGCGGCATAGAAGTCGCGCACGACGCCGTCATAGGTGTCTTCCTTATGGCCAAACGAGGGGTAGTTTGGTATGTCGATATCTTCATAGTCTGCTGCATATTCTTCCTCTCGAGCGAGCTGCTCGAACGTCTCTCTGACAAAGCCAAAGAAGCCGTTGGGTGAGTCGGAAAAGTCTACGTTTCCTCTGAACTTGCCCATCATCCGCGCCAGGTCGTCTGCTGTGGTAACACGCATGCTGCCCTGGTAGTGCTCGCCGGCATCTTCCTCTCCAGTGCCCCCTCTTAGGATGCTCCCCTCGTGAGCGTCGTACCATGCGCGCTCCTGGTCGTCTGACAGGACTTCGTAAGCGGCTCGCACCTCGGCGAAGAGAGCGGTAGTACGTTCGACATCGCCATAGTTGCGGTCGGGATGGAGTTCGAGAGCTTTCTTGCGGTATGCTTTCTTGAGCCTGCGAGGAATCAGTCATGAAGGGTCGACGAGGCCATGGTGACGCACTCGTCTTGGGTGGCATTGCGCTCCACTCCTAGCAATTCGTAGTAGCTCGTCTTGACCTGGTCACCTGCGGACGCCTCTTCGCCTTGAGATGACTGCGATGCGCCCATGCTGAGCGTCTCGACTCTAACTAGTCGGGCCTATAGCAAGCGTCTAAATGAGTGTTCGTGGTGTTGGTACTTTCTCTGGCTTGGCTCTGTGTTGCCGTGGTCGAGGCTGTCTACTAGTCTGGGTGGGTCTATGGATGTATGTATATCTCTCCGGGAAGCTGACGAAGCGCCCTTGCAACACTATGGCTGCCTTTTGGGCTTCCCTGGGCTTCTTTCACGGCCGTCTTATTAACTGGGATGCGCCCAAAGCATCTCAAGTGAGGTTCTGTCGCACATGTGCATGGATGAGTCGTTAAGAGGCAGAGTTGCGTCATCAGCGAGACTCGGCTACTGCTATGACTGTGCAGCGACTGGCAGCTGATTGGCGGGCGGTGGCGCAGGCGAAAAAGTTGTACGCAGAAGTGACCAGGAGCGAACGAGGCGGCGCTATACCTACAAGCCGCCGCACGCCTTGCGAGGCGACAGGCGACCAGTGAAAAAGTGTGCATTTTCGTTTTTTCTTTTCTTTTAAAGGCGCCGCTCTCCCACGTGTTGGAAGGAAGAAGCATTTTCAGTAGGCATTACCGTATACAACTCACAGCGACCGAGCGTGTGTGTATAGCGAGCGGAACAGAAAGCCGGTTGTTGCTTGCTTGCTAGAGCTGGCTGGAACGTCGTTAATCGCTCATTTGTCGGCGCCATATTCTCTCTCTCGTTTTCCTCTGGTGCTTACCGTCTGGTCGGCCGCGCCAGGCGCCTTCGTACTCACTCCTTACTACCTACTACCCACTACCACAACGACACAGTACACTCTTTGCGACTCTTCGCGCCACTGCGTTTTGCATGCATACTACATAGTGAGCCGCACCCAGGCCGGTGATCACAGCCACGCGGCCCACGGAACTGCATCAGCGCTTTGGGAGCGTTTTCTCTGCTTTGTTGCGCCAGGGACCCCGCCCGGCCTCTGAACCACTCGTCTCCCCCACGTGCGCTGTCCGCCTTCTCTGACCGGCCAGCCCTGTCGACGCTTCCTGCCCATCGGCTCCAGCACCCCTAGTGCACGCATACTACATATAGTAATAGCTGGGCGGCCATGAAGTTCGGCCATGTCTTTAAGCAGACCCTGAGGGACGAAGGATTCCCGCCCGACTGGGTCGACTCGGCTATCTCGTACTCGCAGCTCAAGAAATGCATCAAGAGGCTGACCGACGAGCTGCAGCAGGTCGGCTTAGATCCGGCCACCCTGTCCAAGTTGCTCAAGCATGTCGAGGACTATAATGCCTCGACCGAGCACCATGACGACCAGGAACGGCCCTTTGAGTACATTCTCAATCCCCACAGCTCCCATGATGACGACGCCTCGCAGTCGCCAAAGGCCTTTCACCCAAAGCTCCTCTTCTATGTAGACGAGACGAGCGGAGAAGTCATGGGCGCCAAACTTGACAATGAAACGAGGAACAAGCTGCATCTGCTAGCCGTTGAGACGGGCATGTCGGACATGCGCGTGCTCGACGACTCCAACTTGCCCTGCCACTCTGCATACACTCCCGAATCGCCCACGACTGCAAACACGCCCGGCAATCGACCTGGCTGTCGGTCCGTTCTAGTACCAATCACTTCCGACACGGAGTTCTTCACTCGTCTCACCAGCGAGGTCTCTGGGCTCGAGAAGCTGCAGGAGCGAGAGCAGAAGAGAATGAATGTCCAGATTGAAGCTCTCGGCAAGCAGGTTGCCAAGTTGACCGACCCCGACCGGCGGACAACAAGGAAGATGCTCACCACCTGGCGCAAAATTTTCCAGATTTATGTTGAAGAGGGCATCTTCTTTGGAACAACGGAGCTCGATCACAAGTCGCATGATTCGGAAAAAGCAATGGCACGGCTCGCCATCTTTTCCAACAAGATTGCCAAGGCTGGTCTCGTCGAGCAATTGAAGAAGAAGGAGAACTTGACTGCTCTCAATACGTTTATGCACATTAATCGCGAGATTCTGCAGAGCCTGCGATTCGGCGAGATTAACCATAATGCCATGATGAAGATTTTGAAAAGTATGTCATTCTCTCCTTGTTGTTTTCCCGGTTTGAGAAGCTTGTCTCAAATCACACCATGACAGTGACTGACTTATATTTTTTTAACAGAATTCGACAAGCGTACAGCGCTGGGGGTAAAGTCCACGTTTCCGCGTCAGGTCGAGTATCCAGAGTTCTCGGAGCACCTAGCCAAGGCGGTATGCGCAGAGGTCAACACGCAGATTCTGTCGCACGTGCCTCAAATCGACGACTACTCGTGCCCCATGTGTATGGAGATTCAATGGCGGCCCGTCAAGCTGAGCTGCAACCATACATTTTGCATCCGGTGCTTGATTGTCATGCAGAACAATAAGCAGTACAACTGTCCGTTTTGCAGGCAAAAGACGATATTTGATGCCAATTCTGGTGAGTTTTGTTGGGTTTGTTGTTCTTTCCTTTGTTGATATCAAAAACTAACCAAGTCATTACTCCGTAGACAACCTGGACACAGAAAAAGCGGCATTTCTAAAGAAATGGTTCCCTGAAGAAGTCAAGGATAAGCAGCGGTACAATGAGAAGATGGCCGGTGTGGATCAGTATGGCGAGGTGTATGCCAATGAAAAATGCAACGTCATGTGAGGAGAAAGAAGAAAAGTAACATATGATCTATTCACTTGTGGTCTAGCAACAGAGGTTGCAGGGTGCAACGTTTCACAAAAGGTATTCGAGAGACTTGGGCAGCATCTTTCTTCTTTTCCCATTTCCGGCTTTTGATTTCTCCTTCTTGCATTAAGATACCCCCTTTTTTTCCTACAATTTCGACTATCAGCAACAGTAATAGACTTTTTTTGGTATATAGTTTCATGAACATCACCATCGTCAGCATCACTCTGTGCTTGCAATCATTCGCTTCACCTAGCTAACTAACGGCATAAACAGAGTCAAATGGCAACTATGAGGTTGAAATAGTGAGAAAAAACTTTGTAGTTGATGCGTACTACAGACAGAACAGCGATGGCTGATGTACAGGGACATGATGTGTCTTTGCCTCCTGTTGACCCCTACCATAGAAATATCAGAACTCCGATTCAAGATGCAAACTAAGGAATACGCTGTGTATGTACGTGTGAGAGAGGGGGGGAGAGTCTGAGAGGGCGTGACAAGACAATAAAGGGAGAATGGTTTGCCAATCAGAGGATATATATCATACGGAGAGATAATGAAAAAAAAGGGAGCGAAAAAAGATCTATACACTGCGCTCTGGACTTTCACCCTCGGCAACTACAGCAACACCCAAGCCACGATCTGGAGACTGGAGAACCAGCTGTTCGTGCCGCCTGGCGCGAATGAAGTCTGACACACTCTTGATCAAGATGAACCAGCCAACAATCATTAGGCCATAGGCTACCCAATCGCTGCCAGTAATGGCACTTGACGCAGGCGTCGAGTCACCACCAGTGCCGGCAGAGCCGCCGGTGCTGACCTTGTCCGGGTCAAAGTCGTGCGAGTTTGGATCGCTTGGGACGCCGCCGTTGAAGCCTTGGCCTGGGTTGTCGTTGCTGCCGTTGCTGGGGTTGAGTACTGCAGAGCGGAAACCGAAGCCAAACTGCACAAGCGTGATGCCAAGACCAGCACGGGAACCATTCTTTGCAGCGTGGGTGGTATGGAGCAGGTAGGTAAGCAGGAAGCCGACAAGCTGGAAGGACATGGAAATCATGGCGTTCCAGAGGAAACTGAAGAGGGAACCGACGGGAAGGCCCTCGACAAAAACTTCATCGCCAAAGGTGCCGGGGGCGAGTATGGTTGTTTCCCAGTATGGCGGTGTTGCATCTGCGGCGGCTTGTTCGTATGTCTGGAGTAGTGTTAGTGGGAAATAGACAAATTGAGATGGTGATACACAAGACGTACCGGAGGCTTCTCCTCGGCATCCTCACCCCGAGTTGGCTTTGCGCTTAGATTTGCCCACACGCCGCCATTACCACCGCCGTAGACGCGGCCACTGGAGGGAGCCTGTGTGTTGAATACTGGCAGTTCGGTGACCCGTCTTTGGATGCCGGGGGCTGGAGGCTCGTCCTCGCTTCGGGGGTTTCCCCGCATCAAGCGCTGTCGATCGTCGCCATTGTCATCGTCGTCGTCGTCTGAGTCGGAATCAAACGTGTCTGCGAGAGTGCGGTCTTCATCAGTGGGTGCCGGGTCCTGTGCTAAGAGGCGTCGTGAGGTTCCATTTGGGGACGATGCGCGCGAGTGAAAGGAGGGTGGTGGCGAGGCCGGGGGCCACTGCTGGGCCGATGTCGACGATGCGTGAGAGTCGTCTTCATCCTGGGCGGCTACCTGAGGCCTGTGTTAGTTTGGGTGTCGTGAGAGCAACGAGCCGGGGGGGTTCGCGCAGTGGTATGATGTATTCCCAACGACCTGAGGCAGGGGAGCATACCCTCTCGTAGCGCTGGCTGGGCATGGTGTGCAGCAGGCAGACGCAGTGGCGCAAGGTTGGATGCAGCGATGAGGAGGCGTAGGGGGCAGTTCTGGTGTTGAGAGTCGGCAGGCGCAGGTGGACGAAGAGGAGGAGGAGGAGAGGAGCAGGCAGCGAGCGTAGAGAATAGATGGAGGGCGGCAAAGCAAAGCAGAGCAGAGCAAAGCAAAGCAGAAGCGTGTCAGGCGGCAAGCGCAGCAGTAGAGTGAGAGGCGGCGTTTCAAATGCACCGCGCCCTGCCTTGTCTCTTCTGGGCCATGGAAGTACGGGTGCTGCGCCACGCTGCCCCCTCTCTGCCTGCACGGACCCGCTGCTCCCGACCCCGGCTGCTAGAGAGTGAGAAAGCATCATCGATGGCAAGATTTGCACTCTTGGCCATGGTCTTTGATCTTCTTTGACATTCACCCACCCCGACACACATACATACACACACACACATATAGTAATAGTTACACACTGACTGGACTGCTACTACTGCACTGCATTTTTCCATCTCTCTCACTCTCTCTCACACACAACCATGACAACAACAGTAAGTCAACCTCCCCCAACGCCGTCACGTGCCCACAGCTCATCGTTTCATTTCAAGATAGCAAAGCAATACACGCGCCTCCTCACTCTCTGGCCAAAGGACGCCCTGCGCCCAAACCTGCCCTTCACCCGCGCAATCGAGCACCACGGCCAGCCTTTCGGTGTGCAGCCCATCACTCCTCCCTCCGATGACGCCCCCAAGCCACAGTCGCGAGCAGCCTCAGCCTCAGCCACAGCTCCAGCCACTCCTCCACCCCCACCAAACCCCAAACTCGAGCAGGCCCAAGTAAACGCCCTCTACTCGTTGCTCGAGAACAGATACACCACAAAATATGCCCTGTCGCCGGCCATGTTCAAGCCCACGTCCGCTCCCGATCACTACACGAAGTTGATGGAAGAAATCGACCGCGCCCCCAACAAGACGTGGTGGCAGTCCAAGGTCGACCAGTGGAAGAACAAGATTCGATGGTCATGAGAGAAACAAGCAGTGACTGTATTGCCATACTGTACAACAATACAAGAGACGGAAGAGGTGCTGGCCTGGCTACGGTCACGGCTAAAGTTGGTCGACATCTCTTCCCCACTTACCTTCACCTTTACCTTCGCTCTCGTTTTCCCTGGACCCGGACTTGGCTCATTCCTGCATTGATTTTCTCCTATTCTTGCTCAACCTTTGCCATCACCAGCCGATCGCCTCTTGCAACTGGCTGTATGACACGACTCTCCCCACCATGATCAGCCAAGACCCGGAACCAGACTCAAACATGGAAGTAAGCATGGATACCGAGTACCACCTCCTTAGTAATTGTTACGTAATAGGCGAAAGAATCATGGACAATGGTTTCAAGAACGCTGTTGTAGATGCTCTCGTCGAGGCGAGACCCATCGGTAACACTGGCAATCGTCGGAAACCAAGCGTCAGTACACTCACCATCATATACACGAGTACCCCCGAGCATTCACCAGCTCGCCGCTTAATGGCCAACATGTGATGAAAACATGCAGACAAGAGTTTGGTCACTTTTCTTACCCAAATGCCATTTCCATTCGTGAATGACTTGGTCGAAGCTTTCATCGAGAACAAGTACTCATCGGATATGCGCTCTGTCAGGGTTGATCCGAAGCTCTACCATGAGGCCTGAATCTTCGGGGAATCGTGTGCGGCAAGCTGGAGATTGTTTGCAAACGACTTGCTTATCACCAGACACGCCTGATGAGTCTGCAACCATTGGGCACTTTGTATAGCTGGGGAATCAACTCAAGAAAGCTTTGGGCGTTGAAGCAATAAAGATATCTAAGACTGGGTCAGCGAAGCTGCACGGATAACCATGCACTATGCTTGACCGATAATTTGGTATTTCATCATGATGAATTTTGCTAGCCTTATTCTCTTCTTTTCTCTTTTGTTTTCCGTTCTGCCGATGGACTTTGGTTATACTATATTATTAACATTTCCACTTGAGACGTACATCATAGCCTAGCATTCTACTCACAGGTCCATATAACACATAAGTAGTTAAATTCCTAATAATATTGACCTTTCTTTTATATCACTTGTCTCTATTCTTACCTTATCAACTACTAATAAATACTACTATATCTCTAAATACTAAAACAGCTTTTTCTAAAATTAACTTCCTAAAGAAATATATAAAGATATATCGAGGTAGATAATAGATGAGTTCCATAGATTAGAAGCTAGCCCAGACCCTACCAGCCTTGCGAATTTAAGAGGTATCTGGCGAATAGGCAAGTATGCGTCTGAGTTGTTCACATACGCGTACTTGCCCATTCGCCAGATACTTTTCAGATCGACAAGGCCAGTGGAGTCTGGCCCATGGAAACTAACAGGTACATAAGATAACAACAGTCTCTAAATCCGTCCATCGACACCGCCGCGCGCCAATTTGAACGACACGTATGCTCCACCACAATGGCTACGCCATATCGTTCAATTTCTTCAGGCTCATTCCTGCCAACCGTCCAGATATTCTCGTATGAAATACAACGTCGCCCTCATCCACGTCTGGCTCTCTTTGCTCCAAAGTCTGACCTCAAACTTCTTCTGCGCCTTCGTCGAATTCGATGCAGTGATGACCTTTAAGAGACGAGTCATGTTTTGTTCCAGCCACCTACGAGCCCCCTTAATATGTACTATATTTCGGTAGAGCTGTTCGCAAGTTTCTTTACTAGGCCCTTCCATCCAACGCATTATCACCGTGCTGAATTTACAGATGGTGAGTGCATCTATGTTGTTGATGAGAGTAGTGTAACTGCCCTTAGCCCCGCGGATCTTGATGTGATTGATGTATCCCTCGTCGCGATACTGTGTAAATGGATTGTCGTTGAGATACTGTATACAACAAGGCATCCACTTCTGTAGATCCCTCGATATATGGGACGGTGGAGGGGAATAAGCGATAGGATCTACAAGAATGAAACAGAAACGGGTTGACGACCGAGATAGGATTGAAGAGACAGACTAAGCATGGCAAATTTATATGTATCCATATATACATAGCTGCGTATGCTTCTGCGTTACCGAGAAGGGCCGCGTAGCCGCACTTGGATTCTCCAAGTTATAACTGGTTGACATATTCGGTTGGAGCGAATGGTCGCGATAGAGGAACCTCCAGACTTGTACCCGGTGTAGCAGAAGCTGCATAGTAGATAAGGGCAAAGATCATATAGCCAGAAAGGTATTCAGTGTCGTAGATTGTAGAAAGCAACTGTAGTGTTAGAAGATATGCCAACTAAGGTCGGTAGTTGATGCAACAGATTTGGCCCCTCGAGAGTAAGCTATATCAATAACGGGTAGAAAGAGAACGGCGGCATAACTGTAAGACGAGATGTAAAGTAGAGGGAGTATTAATAGGATGAGATATGAAAGATGATGTTAGTCAGAGGGACGGGCGAGGAATATGATATTAATACGCATTCGTTCGCTATGCAGCGCAGCGTATTCTCAGTGCGACTATGGTTCGCTGGGTTGCTGCCTATGCTGCTACCACAACTGACGACTAATCAATGAACACACGTCCATTAGCAATCTGTATCATTGGTACAACAATACGTAGAGACCGTACCGAGGTTCTAAAGTGAAACCCTCCTGAAAAACACGAAGCCGAAGCGCCATGCTTGGGTTGATGTGTTGACTTCAAAGTCTTCATTTCCAATACGCTGATGTTTGCAAGCCAGGACACAGCGTGTCACCCTTCACAAGATACCATACGCTGATCTATTGCAAGCGAACCAGACTTTCTTTGGTGCATGTACTCAAAGCAACGTATTGGAAATAATCGTAATGCAGCATCATTCAAAATCTCGAACGCTTTCATTTGCCTTTCGCCCTATTCATACGCATGTGCGTTGACGGTCGGCCTCCATACCTGTGGTCATCTGAAAATGCCATCCAGTTCGAGGTATATGTATCACTTTCCGCTGGAATTGAGCCTTCACTATAATTCTAAGCTTCGCGCGTCACGTCAGGATCGATTGTTCACATCTCAATCAAATCATAACAATTTAATAGGATATAAGTCAATGTGGGAGTGGACACTGTAGTTTTAGAAGCGACAAAAGATCTGTGAGCAGTTTAGTCAGAGATGATATTGCGGTATCATCCCGAGGGGGCGAATCAGTGTCACACGATATGGTAGAGATAAAAAATGGAAAGGGAGCGCACGATTGATGTGGTGAGATAGGGCATAATAGACGGAGATTCTGTAGAGTGTATCGCACCACTTGCTCACAGCAGAGCGTTGCAGTGATTGAGTTGTTGCATTAACTGCGGTTCGCCAATACGGAAAATCCGCAAAGTGCAATTCAGCTCAGCAAAAATACACAAGTCTATCGCAGATGGGTCAACACTCAGCATCACTGTTAAAGCCACAGCTGTTCCAAACCCATGCCACTTGAGCAACCGGGTCTCTGCGATGACGAAAATCCCATGTTTACATCTAGGTCTGTGTACGAACATCGAGTCCTTGTGCAGATAAATGTATTCTCGACTTGCCTCTAAAGAGATGATGAATATCAAGCTGAACAGAGACCGCTGATTTCATCATGATATGTACAGTGATACTCCAATCCCTATTTGGTCTCGTGCTCGGGTGTGATGGCAAATGTAGGTCGAACAAATCTGTATCCGCGCAGTTAGCCAATGCTCGTCCAAGCATCACAGGTCCGTTCGATACATACCTGTCGCTGTGATAAACCTTTGTCTCTGTGCCCAACAGTTCTTTCTCCCTAGCCTTGTCGGCCAGATATCTTCGCACTTGGTCACGGTCTTCCTCTGCTTGCAGTGCTGGAATAAGGTGTATCCGCGCCCACATCTTCTCGCGCGCGAGTTCGCTGTCAGATGTCAGCATTTCGTCCCGAGCCATGTAATTGCCAATCTATGTTTTCAAGGGAATGTCGCGTACTTGTGCTCCCTGATACCCTGGCCAACCCTCCAGAATCCGTATGTCATAAGTGCCGCGGTTCCGATAATGTATGCGGCGGGACGGAAGCCTCGAACAGGCAAATTGCGCTTGTACTGGACGGGGCTATAGCCGCCCTGTGGCGGCATATCCTGCGGCATGATGGGCGGTCGTGTTCGTGGTTCAATTGATGTTGGAAGGGTATCGTGAATGCGGAGACGTCAACTGAGGTTCCAGCTCGGGACACTGCCATGACCAGGGCGTGGCTTGGCGCGCTAAGATGTGACCGAGCATAATTTTGTCGACAATGAGTGGGTGGGCGTCTTTACGACAGATTTTCAGCCATTCACTAAAAATTGAAAAAAGATGGATTCAGAGGAGCGGCCTGCAAAGATGCGCAAGTTGGACGTTGCAAGTGGGGATGAAATTATCAAAGACGCAACCGCAGTCACGACACCCACAGAACATGTCTTCAGGAACACCGAGAATGAGGGAACAGTTGGTAGTGCTGAATCTTCAACTGAAGTAGTTACTGAGAAGGAGAGTGGAGAGCCAAAGTTATCGAAGAATCAACTCAAGAAGCAACGGCGGCACGAACGCTGGGAAGCAGGACGAGAAGATCGTAAATTGAAGCGAAAAGAGAAGGTCAAAGAAAAGAAAGAGCGGCGAAGAGAGGTTTTGGCACAGATGCCAGTAGATGAAAATGGCAACAAACCAAGGCTACTGCCGGCACGTCCGCCCAGACATTCAGCAGGACCTGGAAAGCAAGTACCCATCACCGTCATCTTCGACTGCGACTTTGAGGAGCTCATGTTCGACAATGAACTTAAGAGCTTAGGCTTGCAGATTACGAGATGCTACAGCGACAATCGAAAGGCAGACTTTAGAGCGCATTTAGCACTAAGTGGCTTTGGGGGCAAGATGAAGGAGCGTTTCGATGGTATTCTCGCAAAGCAATATACCAGCTGGAAAGGCTTCCGATTCTTTGAGGAAGACTTTGTTGAAGTGGCGGAGAAGGCGAAAGAATGGATGACTGGACTAGAAGGAGGGGAGGTGGTTGGTGCATTGAAGACGTCTCAAGAAGCGGACAAGTCCAGTGAACAAGAAAGTACGGGGGATGCAGAGGAAGGAGAGATTGTCTACCTTTCATCTGAATCGGACGAGATCCTAACACACCTCAAGCCAAACAGCACCTACATTATTGGGGGCCTAGTGGACAAGAACCGGCACAAAGGCATCTGCCACAAGCGAGCTGTCAGTCGTGGTATCAAGACGGCAAAGCTGCCTATTGGGCAATATCTGGAAATGAAGAGTCGACAAGTCCTGGTCACGAATCATGTCTTGGAGATTATGCTCAAATGGATGGAGTTTGGGGATTGGGGCAAGGCTTTCATGGCTGTCATGCCAGAGAGAAAAGGCGCCAAGTTGAAGAGTGACATGGAGAATAGAGAGGACGCAGGGGCTGCTGCAGACGACGGGAAAGAGACTGGAGATTGTGAGCTTGCGGGTGCGGATGCGGATGCGGCGGAGAGGCAGAAGCAGTGAACGAGCAACCTATGACAGAACCTGCTAAAGCTACATAAGGATACTTTATGGGAAAAGGACACCTGCTACGGTGTGACAAGTGGAAAGGATTGGTTAGCACACATCCAGGGGCCAAGTAAGGTAGAAGTCAAGGCAAAGTGGTGTATTAATTGCACTGCATGCTACCAGAAGCGGGGGCAACATGGCCGGGCCCTCAATGCCGAATTCTCCATCAAGTGATGGGGTGACAGTGTTTCTTCAAAGCATAGCTTTCCGGGCTTACCCATTTGTATCCAATGACCCCATGCAATGCAAAGGCTGTCCCGATTCCCCATGGACGGCCCAAGGTCAGCCTTAGCGGGTAGCGGGAACCAAGCTTTCCACCGGCGTACTAGCGCGCTCTCACAGCTATACATCAAGGAAGCAGAGAGGCGCGCAACCATTGAGCATGCATCTCCGTATCATAGCTCGCTGGCACTGGCTTCCAGCGTAGCTCCCAATATGTATCAGCCCATCCCAAGACGATGCTTATGTAACACGCACACCTCTTGCATACCGTGTGAGGCTTCAGACATCCGTCAGCCCACTAGTTTTCCGCAACGTCACAGCTGCTCTGACCTACGCCCGCCCCAGCACACCACTTCCAACACTTGACCCACATTAATCCAGGCACACTGCTACAATTGCTGCCAGCCGCCAGTCATGTCGCATGCACAAGAAACCCCGTCGTCTCCACCCTTGCGCTCCTCATCCTCCCAAACATCGCCGCCACCAAATCGCGCCACACCAAATCGCTCCTCGTCCTACTTCACATACCCAGTCTCATATGCCGTCTCAGGCATCCTACGGCGATTGAATACCGAATCCAGTCCGAATCCGGGACCCCACTCAAAATCCGACAGCAACAGCAACCGAAATAGCATAGGCAGGCTACCAGCACAGCTGCAGTCCACTGCTTCTGCCCTCTCCCACTCCCTCGCGAGCCTCGTCTCCTCCGACTCCGTAGACATGAACTCAGTCTTTCAACCCACACATCGCATAGCGAGCCCTTTCCAACCGCCGCCGTTGACACCGCTGAGTCTAAAGGGGTGGAGAAGTGGAATGCGAGAGAATGGCAAGCTCCTAAGCAAAGCGCTGGCAGAAGAAATTAGGCTGCTCCTGCCACCAAGGCTACAACTCGTAGATGAATGGAGCCTGACGTACAGTCTGGAGCAGAATGGTGTGAGCCTGGCGACTCTTTACAAAGAGGCTGACGAATACCGGGGGAGGAGAGGCGGCTTCGTGCTTGTGGTCAGAGATGGTAGTGGAGGCGTAAGTCGCCCAGCATTCCTTAAGTAGAAAACAGTACTGATATGTTGCGACAGACTTTCGGCGCCTATCTCTCAGACGCACCCCACCCCTCTTCGTCGTTTTATGGCAACGGCGAATGCTTTCTCTGGCGCGCTCAAATTCTTGCTGGTCTCCCAGATCTGCAATTGAATCTCCCACCACCTCCCTCGGAAGATACAACGAATGCTGTTCGCATGACAACCATATCATCACCAAAGACAAAAGCCGATAAGTTGGCCCTATCAGAGAATGACCAGGCGACCAGAAGTGGCGCAAGTACACCAGAGAGAATCAGATTCAAGGCATTCCCCTATAGTGGAGTGAATGACTACATGATTTTCTGTGAACATAGCTATCTTAGTGTTGGTGGAGGGTAAGCTGACATTTGTTGTCCATTGGGAACGGCAATACTGACAGTATCGCAGTGATGGCCACTACGGCTTATGGCTAGATGATAACCTCGAGAACGGTGTTTCGGACACATGTCCAACATTTGGAAATGAACCACTCAGTGATGAGGGCAAGAAATTTGAGGTCCTGGGCGTCGAACTCTGGTACATTGGTGTCTGAACATCGCTTCGACTTGTCTTTACTCAGCATGATGGCTGGTGTGATCCTCATACTGGCAACATATTGACTCGGCGCACGAAAATCGAAAGAGTCTTCCATGGCCATTAAAGAATTGCGGAAGTTCGACCTTGTTTCGCTGATCACATGAGGCAGGAGCTATTGAGATACTCGATGAAATGTTTCACTTACCATTCATCAACTTCGGCTGGATTAGCACATGCGTATCATTACTGATACTCTCGATTCTCATCTACTGTATAACACTCTCTCAACGCATGCGACCATTACCTGGTCCTTCTTACTACAACCTGCTTGTGTTACGACAGCGTGTTTGCTTCATGACCTTGGTTATCACCGCTGGTACTATACATTCATCATGACCGTAATGGCTTCCGCTACCACACACCGAGACGGCCCTTGCAAGAGCTACAGCGCAACAGAGAAGATAAGAGGTTCAATCAACAAAGCTTTTGTTCATGGAGTCGACAACTACGACTTCGAATTACTCAGGGCTTGGAAAGTGTCACACACATTTCAGGACGATTACTTTGCAAAAGAAGAGAACCGTTCAGCAAATACAGGATTTTCAGAGTTTGAAAATAACTGTTTCGATTCAACCTGCATTGATTGTGCCCTTCAAGAATGCAGCACAGATTCTATGAGCTATTTCAGCATGGGCACATGGCTTGTGGATGGAGATGCTGAAGATTTACAAAAAGCTATAAAAGATCTTTCCGCCTAGTTAATTAAAAAAAACTCAATTCACCGTAATCACTCATCGTACCAGCCCAGTGGCTTGGCAGAACCTGAAAATAGTGATTTGGCCCTGTAATCTTCATACAATGCTCTCACCAGGAATCCAGATTCGCCAATACAAAATGATCTACCAGAGGTCTCACTTTCACACCGTCGGTTCGGCTATAGATTTCCTCACATCATATCTTCTGTTTCCTACCACTCCCAACTGTCATCGTCTACGACATTTCCACCTACAAAAATGGCGCCTACCAAGTCTGAAGACACTTCTAGAAAGCTGGAGCCAATCAGGTATCCCCATTTGATTGTCTGCCATGGATCAATCAGATGCTGACATCTACAAGTGTCAGCAACAGGATTGTTCACTTCAAGGTCTCAAATATAGAACGACGCTTCAGTACCCGCGAAGGTACTCGAACTCCATGGCTCCAGAATCTCAGCTTTACTCTAATCGACTCCTACAATTTAGATCGCATATGCAAGACCTCAATGTTCTTCATATACCGTCTCCAAAAATGTCGCAAACGCATGTCCCCAACCGACGAACGTTGCATCTGCACCGATACCCTTGATCCCGTCGTCAAAGATATCTCTTTCTGCACCAATTGCGGCCAGAATTTCCATGAATCATGCATGGAGACCTGGGGGAATTATAGAAGAACCGCTAGGAGAAGGAATTCTCCAGCAAACTGTCCAACGTACCGCGCTAGCTGGAAGACAGACTCACCCTTGTCCAATATGAATGTAGAGACTGAACTCGATGCCGAGGCTTTGCAGATTTATATGGACTGGGTATACACATCTAGATTGGAGATTCCGGCACTGATCTCGTGGGGCACTAACACTTTCACCCTCATCACGCTTTAACTCTTGGCTGTTGCGCATGCCTTCAAAGACCTTAGGCTCAAGTTCCGAGTCCAAAATCTTTTCTTCGTTCAACCGGACGCATTTTTTCGAATGGAAAGCGTAAACTTGGCTTCCGTAGATCGAGAATCCTACAACGAGATGCGGGAGTTCGTAAGGCTGATGGGCCCAATGATCAAGGGAAAGTCTGTAAAGTGCATCGATTATGTTAGGGATTCTTGGACGGAGTATTTCGAAGCAGTGCTTCGCTCAAAAGAAGTGTAGGAGAAAATTTTAGTGGAAGTGTCTACACACTGATTGCTTCTTCTTTGACAACCAACACATGTATCATGAAGAGATGCAAGTGTATCTTTTCCTTCTAATTGAAGATAATGCATTGGAAAGATTTTGTGGTATCGTTTCCATGTTCTCGCAATCTTTGGCTCTCCATAAACATAGTACTCGGAAGCAAGATTGAATATCATCCTCGAGTTTGAAGCAAACGGAAGAGATGAAGGAGCTTGCCGTACATACTTGATACAATTATTCCTGAGTTCAACAAAGTGCTGTATAAATCAGGGCATCTAGCTTCTTTATAATGGGCACTAATGTCGTAGCCTGAGACTCATTTTAGCATCGCGCCTTGACTCAGCTCCCTATACTTTGCGTAAATTCCACTCACAACCAGACACTCATCCCTTACACTTATTCGTGTGCTCTCTTCCCAGTCTTTTGCTTTTAGCTTACTGTTGGCTCTAATAATTGCTCAGCTTCAGCTTCTTTGGGAAGGTGATAGTGAGATAAAGTTCGATTGCGTAATGCTTTCTCGGTTTCTCCAGTCTCTGTGAGATTGGCTGCAATCGGGTTTCAACCTTTGCAGTCTAGATTCTACTTTACTGTACCGGGAGAAGTAGTCGGTACAATTACCAACAGACACTCGGTTCCCTCACCTGCAAGTGTGAAGGCTCTTGATCTTGTTGCCACCGAGGTATATAAGTATTGTCTCCCTTGTTCTTTCCTTCCTTCAACCTTTCGTCCACTTGACGTCTTCAAACATTTGTATGTACTGTATCAAACCATAGACTTTGATACCGAGGCGTTGCACCATCGTTGTGGAAAAGAGATATCCATTCAGTACCAAGCAAGAGAATCATGAAGTAAGTTGAACCTCCAATCGAGCTATCCAAATTCGAGTTACAGCAAACACAACCCCATATTGTTGCAATTTGGAAAAAACTCAGCAAGAGATTAATTTCCAGCCAGTCATGGTCAGGGAATTGTACGATTGAGTTTCCCTGGGTCGACCAAGACGTTTGCTATACACACAGACCTTCTTTGCGCCCACTCAAGATTGTTTCGTCGAGAGCTCCAACCAAGAAGACAAGGTATCGAGGGCAATTGCTCGATTTGACATTAGGGCCTAGATCTCGATATTTAAGATATTACATTCTGCAATACTTGTGGCGGAAATTTCCATCTCGGTGGCATCAATCAATAGAGACGTCGGCCAGCTGAAGAAGGACCTGCACTATGTCCGTTGTGCCGACAAGAATAGAATCACCACAAACTAATTCAACGGGCGTCACTCCTCAACACTGAGACAGCCTTCGATCTCGCCCAAGCATATCTAGTTGGGATTCGAGTTGAGGATGAGCAATTTTGCACCGAGGTATCCAAAGCGATTGTTAAAACAACGATCGAGGCCTCAGCTGTGAGCGAAGCATGTGTTTTGTATAGATATATGTATATAACGTTCAACAATCACCTCGCCTCAAATAACTGATGGTAGAGTTGTACATTGGCATCAAGATGGAAAAAAGGAACTCGGCATAACTCTTCCGCCTGGAGGAAAGAAGCAACTGCAAAATTCTTCGAGGATGCTGCAATGGCTTCTCTCGGAATCTATCAGGGCGGGGAAAGCAAACGGATTGCAGACGAGATTAAGGAAATGATACATCTAGCAAGAAGAGATAGTATGGGTGTCGAAGGAGCATGATTCTGACCTTGATATACATGTAAGGATCTTAGATGATAACTTACTTACGATATGTTAATGTCCGAAAAACAGTAGATTCAAAGATTCGGGACATCCATCTATCGTGGGTATGTCTCAAGGTTTCTGAGACACTAAAAAAGCGATTGGTTTTCATTGAGAGCAAATAAATCTCTCCCAGTTTTCTTTCCCTATTTGGTGCGATCAGGAGCGGCTGAGGGCCTCCAAGATATCTTATGTATAACTACCCCCCTTTTGCAATTCATCTTCCCATCAACATTTCCTATTTCATGCTTTCCACATACTCCTTCAACACGAAATTTGCTACTCAGTTCGCGGATAAACCATGCATCAGATTCATCACTCAATTCTCGGAATTCAATATCATATAGTAAGCTTTACTCTATGAATACATCTCCTTATGAAAGAAAGTGTATGTGCCATGATCCTAACTGGTATTTGATACTACAATCGTTAGTTTCTCTATTCAGCGATTACACACTATTTATCTCATGAATAGCGTTTGGGCAGAGGCGCTACAAAGCACCATTTCATACATATCTTCGTGTCGGCGATACTAAGGTTTCGCATTCCAGAGATGCGTTCACCAAGATGAGGTTTGCCTTGTTAGCTCTCGGAACTGACTACGACTAGCGTGATGAGCGGACATGCCATCTCTTCTCGGAGTATTTGATTTGCTTGGTATATCAAGTTCACAAAGCGAGACAAGATGTTACATGCACTCAATGGCGGAATAACATTGATGGTAGGTATCTCTATGTCTATATTCTTCGAACGAAGTACAGATAATCTCACATTTACATTTTCAACTTCCATGCCGCTATCTCATCATTATCATCATCATCACATTCTCATCACGCCGCAGTAGCTACAGTAGCCGGCGCCACGACCCTCGTAGCCTGCTCACCCGCCCTAAGAATACCCAAACCCCTAACATCCTTGACTGCCCGCTCCGCACTTGATTTCCAGACCTCTACTTCTTGACCTCCACGCAGAATACCTACTCTCATTGTTGACAGCAGGTTGTGCGCTGCATTTGAATGTTCATACACACCCCCGTTGAACATGGCTGTTGCATCTTTCCCAACCACGGATTTGATAAGCGTCTTGCCGCCGGGGTGATCGGCGATAAAAGGCGAGACGTCGTGGATGACACCAGCGATGGTAACTAGCGCGGCGCTGTTTGCAGAAGCTTGGGCTTGGAAGTCGTCCCAAGAGAGGACCGGCAGTTGGGAGAGCGAAGTGCCCCAGTCGAGTGCTGCACGTTTCTTGTCTACGGCTTTTTGCTGTTGTTGGAGACGGCCTTTTTCGATTTCGTTGGCGCGGAAGGTCTTGAGGTCTTGGGTTAATGGGAAGAAGGGGATTTTGGACATGCCCCAGATTAGCCATTTGGTGGGATCATATTGGTACCAGAGGATAGCATTGCCTGAAATTCGTTAGATATAGGCTCTACCTTTTTATTGGTGGTCAGACTTACGGTAGTCACTAGGGAATTCGTGGTGAAAGTTGTGGTAGCCTTCTCCCATGGTAACGAGAGCGGTAAGCACATGATCTCTGGGACTTCTTCGGTCATCGAACGGTTGCTCTCCAAGGTAGTGTGCCAACGAATTGACGCAAAATGTTGCTTGCTGAACGAGACACGCCCGGATGATACCTGCATAAACGAGACCTCCCCACCAGTCTCCCCATCCCAAGCCAGCGACTAAAGCAGGAAAGACCCAGGCGGTAAAAATCAGAATCTTGCCATAATGCTTGTGTTGGAAAACAACAATGGCGTCATTGTCCAGATCAGAAATATCCGTACGTCCCTTCACTTTGGGGTCCGTGTTCAAGACCATCCATCCAATGTGGGAGAAGAGTAGACCCCGCATAACCGAGTATGGGTCTTTCATGGTATCGGTCCAACGATGGTGAGCACGATGATTGGCGCTCCACCAGCGTATGCTTCCCTGGATGGCTCCGGCTCCTACGAATGCGAGAAAAAGTCGTAGAGGAAGCCGTGCAGAGTAACAACGGTGACTCCATAATCTATGGTAACCGCCTGTGATACCAAAAGCGGTTGTGGCATAGTAAATCATGCTCCATAGTAGTGTAGGACGGGTGAGAGGAGTGGAAAGGGAAAGGTAGAGGCCATAGGTTGGGATGAGGACGACCAGCGTCGTATTGAGCCAATTGATCTTCTTGTACCAGTTTTGGAGGGTTACAGGCTGGGCTGATATATGTGGCTGTGTTGGTGGTGTTGGAGGCACAGCCACTTGTGGGTCTGATGTGGCCATCGTGGTGGTTGGTCTCAATGAGGCGAAGAGCGTGCAGGAACAAGACAGCGTAATCGTGCATGTACTCCAGGTACATACATATATGTACCTTCTACCGCTTCATCCGGAACCCTCCGAGCACACCAAACCATGTTGGCAAAAACGCAGGCAGAAACATGGATACATGTACGTGTCCAGCTCAAGCGTCGGGGTAATTAGTTCAATGTAACAGCGTGAAAACCGCGCGGCAGCCGCAACAGATTTCTCGGGTGATACGTCGCTCTCTCGTGTTGATTATGATTGGTTGGAAGAAAGGAAAGGATTGGTCGATGAAGTTTACATTGCCATGAGCGGTTAGGAGCCTGCAGGAACAAGGCCCTTTGTCGGCTTATTGATGACTAAATTGTTCTTTGAGGATGTGGATTGTGGGCGGTATGCGATCAGGCTTAGCGGGGACCTCAAGTCACACATCACATGTCAAGGCCATGCCTCCCTTGTATGGCTGCGAAGGAACATGGCTATCCTCGTGAGGTGATTTGAGATTGTATCCGAATGCATTGATGGTCTCAGTTGCGAGAGAGAATTGCCGTTTTCGGTGAGGAAACGAGCATTTCGGAACTCTTGTCGTTCCGAACGTTAAGAGTAAGAGCATGGTACCAAGCGTTATACACATCTAACACAGCACAACTTACTCGAAAGGTGAACCAATTGAACAGCAGAACAAAGGGTATCTTTTCTCTCTACTTCCTCGAAGGGACTTCCTCCCACTGCACGCCAACCCATTCTTCTACATATCCCAATTCGCCTTCTGGAACGTCGTTGGGTTTGCAGTCCTTACTGCAGACAGCCATGATGATAGTGCCCCATTCCATACCATCGAGGGTCATTTCTTCAGCCTCCAGCTCAGTAATGGCATGTGGTGTCAACTGAACCTCAAATACCCTGTCTGCACCGCACGTCTGGCAGCGAGGGAAACCAGATCCACCTTTTGAGCCTGTTGTGGTGACTTTGGCATTCGAGGACGGTCCATTCTCTGAGTGAGCTACCAGAGCTTTTCCAACAGCGTCGCTATCGCTGTACAGCAATGGCTTGCCCT